CATCTTACAGATTTCGCTGATGCGTCTAAGGATTTGGTAACGTAATGAACGAGGGAGGCGACAGAATCCAAAGTGGACCTGTTTGACTTCTACGCAAACTGGATAGGGTCTTCAGGGGTACTGAAAGAAGCAGACAAACATTTGAGAATGGCACGTCCTCTCAATTTAAAACCGCAGGATGTTAGAGCAATGGGGTGGAAACGTTTGGACAGTGTGCTGGATCTACACGGTTTTTGAATAGGCAAGTAATAGTAGTAGAAGCAGTAGTAGTGCGCAAGTAGAGCTGACAGGGTAACCTAATTTGGAGACAGTCAACTGAACCAGAAAGAACTAAGAAAGAAACAGTGAACTGCTCAATTGCCGAACTGAATGGAGAAGGTAACAAGGGGTTCCATCTGCTCGACTGCATTTCGTTTCAAGTGCACAGATACCGTGGAATTAGTCGAATATGAGTATGAGTGTTCGAATAATGGTTGAGAACTTGCACATCCCCCCAATAAATGCATTGAAGTTTTGTTTTCCAATGACTGCAGGCCATCAACTCTTTCTGGATCATCTGTTCCCAATATCTTTATCAATAACTTAAAAGTTGAAAGGTCACAACACTTCAAGTATCTCGGATGTTTCGTGTCTGTTGACTTCAAATGGTCCTATCACGTAGAGCAAACATTTATCATAGTCACAAAGTTGACGTTTTATATTTCACGTCTTCGGCATCTGAGGGTGCGGTTGTACATCATCTCCAAATTTATTTTCTCATACGTTTTATACCACTGGACCTAATGCTCTCCCGTTATCTTTCCCGGTCTACTGTCTAAGGATTTCATATTAATTAGACGCTCCCTGAAAAGCATCTCTAGATATGGAGCTGTATCTTATGAGGAGCTGGTTGATTCCATTGTCAACTAACATCTGAATGAGTGTGACCGTCTGTGTGATTCCGTCTTGTCCAATGCGTCACATCTTTTACACACAGCCCTATCTAGCTCCATTTCAACTTCTATCACCCCACAATAAATTCAAAACCTTTATATACTCGTACCACTGCTTTCACAACTCTGTTGTACCTCACGTTTCTCGTTTTTTTTTGTTTCTATGGAGCGAATATCAAACGAAGTTGTACACAGAGTGATGTAAATTTTCACGCTGGAATTGTTTTTATTTTTTGACGCACTCTCGGTTTACGATTCATCATCATCTCAGTAACTAGTTGTCATATCTTCAAGCTCATTTTTTAACAGCGCACAATGCCAAAGCAAAAGCGATAAAATACTTTTCACTGAAAATTCTGTCCACATTGGATGAGTAAAGTGTACTCTTGACTTGACTTGACATCCCAAAATAAACTACTCAGTTACTGAGCTCGGATTCGCTCAGTGGTCGTGATAAATAGTCATATTTATCTGAAACAAATAGCCAATCGACAACACTTGTTGCTCGTACTGGAGCCCTCATTAGATTCCAGATGGTAAATCCAAGTGTGAAAAGAGTTGTATAATCTGTTGCTTAAAACGCAGTCTGATAAAACCCAAACCAAAAGAAATGAAATATCACGAAACGAAATTGTTCAGACTGGTGAAACTATGGCTACATAAACTGACTTTAAAATGATGCCGTTCAATTCATGCGAGGTCACGGAATTCCGGTTTGGGGGGGGGGGGTTGTTTGCTCCCAATCTGATTTCTTGTTTTTTGAATCCAGATAAAAACACTAAGTGGTACACACTGCTGACGAGTTTCATCCAACACGACTAAACAGGTGTTTGCAGCTTTTTATGGAACAATACATCAAAATATTATCACTTTTAGGTACTTTTTTAAAATTCTATCAAACAGTTTTCCAGAATGGCAAAAATGTATCGTTGATTGTTCAATTGATTATTGTGTTAACAAAGCATTTCTGAGTACGTAACGCTCTCATCCTCAGAATCATTGTTATCATCATTGTTGAATTGAATTTTACTAATCCTGGCTTAAATTATTCTCCATTCTTTTTCACTATTCGTGCGAATAAACTTGAACAATTATGTTCATTTGAATATTAGATTCGTGTGCCTGTTTACATAGATTGAGTGACAAGTACACCTTACACATCCCAATTATGAAATATATATATATATATATATGTATATATTGTTAGCAGTGGCACGAGCAATAACAAGTCCTGATTCTGAGACATCCCTAACAAACGACAGTCTTAATCCCTTGGGACCCAACCTGAAAGGTGGACTGCACAATCCCAATGTAAAACGGAAGCGAGGAGTTTCATATGGCTAAGTCATGGTCTGACAGCGGTTCCACAGGAGTGGAATATCTTCATCTTCGACTATTCCAACAGAGTTACCGAGCGTTTGCGATTTTGACTGCCGTGGTGTGTAATTTGCGATGAATAGGTTAGACATACGGATCATGAGATTAAACGGGAATAGTCTGATCCTAATTGTCACTCCTACCCTCATCCCTACCGCAGGATTCCGTGTTGATCACATAAATATACTCACCTCAACTGACACACACACATATATAGTTTAGGTGGATCGCCTGAATTATCGTTGGTATGCTTCGTTAAGAAATTATAATAATTTTCTGTGGAACAACCTAATTGGATTACACTGTTGCCAACATGCTTATCCAACTGCACCAAGTGATACATATGACCACAGAGGTCTTGGCGCTCTTGTTGTCATTTCTTAACAAGGCAGAATGCTTGAAAAAAGGTATGCATGCACACTTAGATTGTGTGCTCTGTGTTTTGTCCGCAGAGGTTTTCTTTTTCTTTGCCTCCCTCCAATTAGGCCCAATCCCTCCCGCATCTTGTGTTTTATCACTTGATTTGTGTACATTGTGAGCTTGGCAGCGATCAGTGAAGCTCGCTTCACTGTATCTCACTGTACGATGATGATGATGATGACAGAGGTCTTTAGCACAGGATCAAGTGTGTGTATTTCTCCCTACCCCATTTTCTCTCTCTCTCGGTGGGTAGCTTTATCGGTGAAATCAGTTGGTATCGGGGGGAAATGCTCGGCTGAAGGAGGTGACCGCTATTCCGGAATACGATATAACGATATGAATCTGTTGTGCGTGACCTGTTGTACGTTATCGCTATCTTGAGGTACATAATTCATCTTTTCTCATCGATGGATAATTATCGGTCACTGTGTTTCGTTTGACGTGGTTGTTGGACTTTGAGTTTGAGTTCACTTTCTTAATGTGTTTTGCTCATTCCTGACGCATCGTTCCCGCTCAATTCTATTTTATTCAGCTGCTGCTGATTGTCGCCGTCTGTTTATGCTTTCCGATTATCTGTCTGTCGTCCTGTGCATTCCCTTCAAACGGTGTGGATAATTATCGTTCGCCAACTGGACCCCGTATTAGGTGAATTTTATAATGGATATGAGTCGTGTAATTCTTTGATGACTATACGGAATAGACTGGACGAATTAACGATGACCTGATGCCTCCCAGCGTGTGTTTGCGATCTCAAAATCCAGATCTCAGATAAATAAAGAGAACAAATCAGGTTTCTGCAAGGAAGCTCCCTTCTCTCTCTCGTGAAGATTTCACCAGCAGTTCGATACCGCAAACTGGCACACAAACTTTCGGGGATACAACCTCCTTCCTCTTTGTTCCCGNCCCTCCAAATCCGAAATTCTATGCCCAGCATCGATCGACAAGATACGCCCGAAAATGCAGACTGAAAGCTGCAATCCAGAGCTGATCAATTAATTACGTGTAAGATGAACAAAAAGTGTGCATGTAGCTATCTGTTATCACCCAAAACAAGGTCAACGAGTCCCTGCCTGGTTGAGTCAGGCACCAAACACACCGGACGAACAAAGCAACCGGCATACAGCAATCAGCTCGTTGAAACAGAGAGGTAGGATAAAGAACGAAAAATTGATTCCGAAGAAGAAGCGCCAACAAGATGTGATTTTAACCGGTAACTTTGTTGACGATCATGCATAGCGCAGTGTGAATGATTGTTTTCAAACACACTCCTTTCTCTTCGACACACTCTATGTCCTCACTTGAGCTGGGCACATTGGCCGAAAAACACTCTCTGCTATTTAGTTGGAGGGTTAATAAGCTTCAAATGGGCCGGGCGAATGCTAGTGACAGCCGTCAAAACCGTCAAGTAGGATCGGAGCACCAGGTTTCACATACGTGAAAATACGGGTCACATTTGCTTGCTGCTGTTGTTGTTTTTGGAAATGGGAAATATGGGCAGCCAGGGCGGGATTCGAACAAAGAACCTCCAGGACAGTTTGGGTGACCACTTGGTCCCAATACAGTTGTTTCTATCTGGTTGGGTTTCATCATTTTATTTAACCAGCAAAGTATTTCTATACCCATACGGACTACCACAATCGGGTGATGTTGCTTGGCCACATTGAAGCATGTCGGTACTAAAATTTTCCAATTCAATCTCTCTTATTTAATTTGAAGCCCCCGACGTTCTTTGAATGATCACAACCTTTAACTCACGGTGGATTTTACACTGATCCAGTCAATCAAAACGATCGCTGGATCAGCTTCAAACGCTTAAAGTTCAAAAGAAGCAACAAGGAACAATCACTACATAGGTCGGATTAAAATGATACGGGGCAGTTTTATCAGTGTAACCAGGCAAAACAGATGATTCACAGAATGGATGGGTATAGATAACCGGGTATCAACTGTGCGATTCGAAATATGCCGAACCGCTTAATAAATTCTAATTAAAAATAATTTAAAAATGACTTATCTATTCGTAATAGGGAGATATAAAAGTTTCAATGGGGCCTTGATCGTCAGTCAGTTTGTCAAATCAGGTGCAAATCTGTCTGTGACCTTTGTATAGACAGCCACTAAATAAAATTGTAGCTCTGTACTCATAGCTAATCGATTGACATATAGAATATTGATTTAAGCTCAAACAGGGCCCCCTCAGAAAGACGCATTACCAATGAATCTCATTTTTGATACTACGGAGGAGATAATCGTTAGTTTTTTTTAAGTCGGTCAGAGAACGCTATCCACATACTTAACCTCAAAATTCAGTGTAAAACCATTATCTGGTTTACAACTGCCGGGTTGCATAATCGTCACTCTGTTAAAATGGAACAGCACCAAAAACAGGAAGAAATAAATGATCTAGGTTATCTCTGTCAATGCTGGGCGAGCAATCATTGAGAAGACGGAAACACAATCCTGTCGCTGTTTGACTGCCTTGCCTTGCCAGAGGTTCTGATTGTTTATTTGGGGCTAGTGAAGATCACGCATAGTGCCATATTTGTGTTCACTTTCCTACTAGTCTTTAATTTCCCGATCGACATTTGAAGTTGCTATACAAACAACGATCTTGTCACTCGTATATCGACTTCCCCTTCACGGTTATCTGTCATCGATTGACCGGTTGGGTAAGGTGAGAGCGGGGAACGGTAGATTGGTATCATTCAACTAAGAGATTCCGACAGTCCATCGCCCTGTTGAATTTCTTTGGGCTTTCTGAAAGAAATCGTCATTTACTGTAACATATCGAACCAATTGGTGTAATACAAAGGAGATCATAGTATGATTTAGTACACAGATACTTACTTGTTCTGTTCGGTTAATCCCGAGGACGCCATCTGCTGACTTCCTCCCGTACGATCAGCTAATCGAAACGGTTTAGGGAATCCGTTGTCCGATGGGGGAACTGTAGGCGCGTAGAACATTCCACCACCAGTAGTTGTAAGCACGTCAGTAACACAAGTGAATGGTTGGGTGAAAGAATCTGTTGGTCGATTGAAACAATCCGGACTGTGGTTTCCCGCCTGCGTGTCTGGCCTCTCACGTGACACGTGGTCTGTGTTGAGTGCTAACTCATGACCATGTCCGGTCAATCGATACGTTTCCATACCCGTGGACGAATAGTATGGATCGTGTGTGATTTCCCCGTACAGAGGTGCGGAATATTCGGATTCCGTTCGAGGCAAGGCAGATCGATACACGGGGACAGTTGTGGGCGTGGTCGCGTGATTGGGACCAGGGCAGAGGTTAGTTTGATTTACGTGGTTGTTCGATTCGTGAAGATCGCCAGATAAAACATGACTCACACCTGAATGAGAGACGAGAAATTCCATAACAAATAACAATAGAGTTTTGGGTGTAATTTTCCCATGCTTGTACAATTGCTGAAAAGATGCTACGAGCAGATTAAAACTATATTAATGCACTCCCAAAAATAAAGGTTTTGATATAGGATCTAAAGTTTTGCACAGATGTATCGCAAACGGAACACAAAAACAACTTGTCATGAGCCACATTCAAGCATTTCGACCTTCCATTCATTAGCTCCAGACACCTTGAATCTACATGACATTTGCGTACATTGCGTGTTGTCAAGGTTAAAAGTTTTTTTTCACATTACCATCTTGATCTGAGAATTGAGAGGACCAAAACCTGTTACCACGGCAACGATCTTTTTCGAGGAATCGATATGGCCCATTGACCACAATCTTAAACTTTACGATCGGCAAACAGCACATACGCACACAGGGCTCATAAACACGGATCTCGCTGCAAGTAAGCAGTACTGTCACAATCAGGCACAGCTTTTTTTTTTCTAAAGTATACCGGATCAAATTAACCGGTGGAAATAAGAAGAAAAACACAAATTTCCGGATAAATGTATGTTTGATATCTTTAGTTTCTGAGGCTTCTAATTTGTTGACTCATTGAGACAACTCACAGTCAATCAACGCAATCTCCAGTCTGTTCTGGTTGACATGTCACCCATGTCAATATTCATGTCTACTTTGATCCAAGTCAATCAGTCTGCTGGTAGTCAAAGAATTTGGATCGGAAAAATATCAGCCACCTCGGCGGGATTCGAACTCAGACGTAGACACTGCCTAACGTTTTGTACACCACGCACTCTCTGCCTGTACTGATGATATCTGTACGTGAGTTCGACTCTCACTGGGCTTGCTGATATTGTCAATCCAAATATTTGTTTCCAGTTAAATTGAAGTTCTTCCTTGCTGGGGATCAATAATCCAATCCGACAGTAAACAGATCTCGACCACTGCTGTGTTTTGCAACATGTATTCTCCCAGGAGCAGATTAATACCCTCAACAATACCGCATTGCTATCAGATGAGAAGACAGCTGCTTTTGCTATTCTGCACACGTTTATGGGCCTTCTGTGGGTGTATATGTGCCTAGCATTACTGATGCGTGGTTTCCTGTCATCAAAACTCCAAGTTGTCTTTTACGGCACTCTGGCATAACGCGTCACTCGTTCATGCAAACAAACAATTTGTCTCTATCACGGACTGCACTGTGGAGAACGTAGCATTGCCCAGTCAACCGCGGAATTTCATGTGAAAAATTAGCTGAAATAGCTTCGAGTCACGATTTCAACCCACCATTTTGTGGTTTGGATTGAAGTAGGTTTTTTGAAGTGGAATAACTGCACAATAGGTGAAGTTGTCAATGGAGATGCTCATCACGTTCCAAACGCAACTGGCTTGAAATATGTCACACGTAATCAGTGTTTTTACTTGCGTTCTCTCAAAAATCAAGCAGTTTGAACCAGAATGATGTGAACAAATCTGACAATATAAATGCAGTATGCAATATCTAAGCCCCTGATATTTTTATTGTCCCCCTGATACATGTATACGTACCTGAAGCTAGACTTATGGACGCAAAACGAACGCAGATCGTGAGATCAAATAAGCTTCAGGTTTGTAATTCACGTGTGATAGTTTAGTTAGTTTGTGGCTGAATGTGTACTCCGTTGAGGTTGATGTGGATAAAACATTTATTCCACTACAGTACTATCAGTGTGTGAGTGAAACCGACTACAAGTGCAGTGTATTTTCCATGAACAATTAACAAGAAACGCAGTAAACCACGTCAGTTTAGGAAAGAACCGTAATTTCAAAAGTTTTAGAGCTCCAAGACCTTTCAGATCAGGATGTTTGTCTGAAAAGGTGGATCTTTCACCAAATCTGTACCCTCATGCATTAAACCCATGGACGTGTAGCCTTGGAATAGGTGAATGCATTTGATGAAATCAAATTGTGGATTCTATGGATTAGGTTTCTGGGAAATCTGCATATTGTTCCAAGGGATAGGGGAAAAATGATGTTCAGGATGCGAAATTGATAGGAATTGTGAAAAAGTTACATTCCATTTGCTGGATCACATTAACTAAGAAAGTGCGCTTGTTGTCCACTGAACCGCATAAACGTCGAATGTATTCACGAGGAAAGAGACTCCAAGACACACACTCTCTCACTCTCTTGGGTAGAAACCTTCGTTATTCTTCAGGTATTTGCATACAACTTGAGAGGATACACATGGGGGGAAAAGACCCTGCAACTCTGAGGAGTTGGAGACACTGGAGAATATAGCAGAGAACGGTCAGCAGGGGTGTTCTTGTGGTCATTTCTTATCACACCAGAATACTTGAACAGATATGTATGAGCAGCTAAGTTGTGCATATCGTGTGTTGACCACAAAGGTATAATTACCTTACTTCTCAGCGAATAAAGGTATTATTGCTATCCACTTTGAATATTCTTACTTATTGTGCATGCAGTGTGAGGTTGGCAGTCATCGAAGTATTCCGTTACTGACGCATCGGGAACAGGATTAAACAGCTGTCCAGTACTCGTTGTGTTGGTCATCGCAAACACTTACATCATGATTAATAAATTTTCTATTATTTTTATACCTAATTGGGCACTTTTATCATTTTTAGGGGTTCGAGTTAATGACATTTTCCACACCCATGAGTATGTTTCCCAGGGTAACTCAATTTCTCCTGGTCATAATCAAACTCTGTTTCGTTTCTCTGTATGACAATGAGTTGGTTGCATCATCACGATACGAAAGATAGACCATCTTATGTTGAATTTGCGACACTTAGGTCCAGTTTTATTAAGCCAAATGCTCCGTTTCAAACCAAGGCCGCTTATATTTGGTGGTAAATTTTTAGTTTTACCGGAAAACCAACTGCCATGAGTATTCTCGGGTCATCTGACTAAGCCAAAGTGAATAAGGTGTAGTCAAGTCAAATCAAGTCAAGTCAAAGTAAGCTTTATGCACCCGGAGGTTGAATTTTCAGCCATTTTTTCTCTCTCACGATAGTACAGTGGAATTGGGGTTGGGGTTTGGGGGTGTGTGGCATCAGAGGGTGAATACGGTTAAATAAAAAACGACAGCAAACTGCAAACCGGAAGACGATAGTGATAGATCACAATGAATAAATAAACTAATTCATGAGGTGTTCAATCAGACCTGCAATAATTGGTGCCCGATTCACTAAAAAGTGAGCAAAAAAAGTGACGTTGCTGTTTCTGTATGTGACGGTGCGTGCGGGAAGGAGCCTATAATGGGAGCGGGTACGGGGGCTTGAGATGGATTCAAGAAGTTCGTTGTGCAAGCAGTGATCTTTGTCATTCAAGATTCAATCGACTATTCTTTCACATGCGCCGATATGTTTACACAATAAAATCAACTAGGATATCTCCGGCTATGCCCTTACATCGGGATCGGAGTTTTATGGACCTGGAAATTATTATGAAATCTTTTTCTTTTAGGCCGGGGAAAAATACAGGGGAATAGTACAGCCAATGAGGGAGGATGCATGCTACCACGAATTTGAAAATTACGTTTGGGAGAACAGCAAGCTTCCTAAGTATAAAAGCATAAAAACAAAGTTTACGAACCCTGTTGTAAACGTCCTCTACGTGTAAGGTCCAAGAGAAACTGTGGGATAGAACAAATTCGAGGTATGTAACAGAGTCAACTTTGAGAATGCTGTGACTGTTAACTACGAGGTCCGGTTAGTCATTGAAGGCAGTTTGATAACGGAGGCCAGATTTAAAGCTGAAGGGAACGTCGACACATTTGAAAACATTAATCATGAGTGATTGGAGTAGAGACCAACTACAAAAGTCGTTTCGACTGTCTTGAAATTGGTGGAAAGATGCATCAGTATTAGAGGGGCACTCAATCATCACATCATCCGCATACCTAGAGGCAATAAAGTTTGTAGGGACAGGCGAGTGGTTTATGTACAGGGAAAAAAAGAAGGGAGACAAAATGGCCCCCTGGAAGACACCAGAGTTGACACGGGAAGACGACGATGTTTCACCATTGGATAAGGTAAATTGCGTCCCAAACGAGAAGTAGTTTACAAGAAAGTTTAACACATCAGATCCGAAGCCGCAGTCGGTAAGACAGTAAATGAGAATGCGATGGTCAAGCGAATCAAAAGCGTTGGCAAAGTCAAGAAAAATAAGGCGAATAGTTCCAGCACACTTATCAAGAACTGAGGTCATAGAATGGATAACATGTTCGACAGCGTCAACAGCCAAAAGGGACTGCTTATAAGCAAACTGTCCTCTGTTAGTTTACCGTTAGCGACTTTTATTGTGTAGCTCATTAAACTATAGTTGAAAACGAATGTAAGTGGTTGACAAACAGTGTCACAGACTTGTCCTATGATCAAGCTGCAACCACCCCCCGCACCATGTTTATTTCAGGACTTCAACGGGGAAACACAAGGTGACAAGCCTGGGGAAACGCTGTCGAGGAAAATGGTTGCACGGGTGCTTTCATTAAACTCAACACCCGTTTGTCATTCGTTTATCCACATATTTCCCATTCAATACTGAATCGGCACAGGGTCGAAAGTTATCAAAAAAGCAACAGCGGACAGTTTTTGGTTTTCATCGAACAAAAGGTTTGCTTTAGCTGCGTGATTGACCGAGTCTATACAGGATCTTCACTCACACATGTGAAACAATCACAATTCAGTAAGCATTTAAAGCAATCGTTGTCGATTATTGATTTGTGTGGTTGCAAAAAGGTCACAGAAAAATCTGTTGGTAAACTTAAATTGTGGTCATATAACGAGATCTGTTTTACCGGATGAGGAACTCCCTAATAAAACAAAGAAAGAAAAATCAATCATTATGTCAATCACGTGGTCAAAATTGCCTCGTGAAAACCTATTGACTTCTGAGAGAAAATATATCAGAAACGTTTTTACCAAGGTAAATCGGCGTGTACCGCGATCAATCGCTTATTAAATAAGTC